TATTATACATTTTATATGTATATAGATTATTGCTATTTTGAACTAAGTTCTTAAACTTACATTTCTTAAAACATAGAACTGTAAATAAAAAAGTAAAGCAAACAATTATCTCTTCTAATTACGACCTTTGTACTCAGTTGCTGCTTGACATAGGTTGCTAAGCCTTTAAAAGTTTTGCACGTGGAGGATATGAAACAAAATAATTTTTTTAGGTTTTAAATATAAATTTGAATAACTAAAAATTATAAATTACTACATCAGTACCATAGAATTCCACTATAATTTATCAAGCTTAGTAACTAAGATGTATTTTAGTCTAAAAAATATGAAATTTTGAGCAGACTAAAGACACCCTACCTCATTGAAACGTTGGTTCAAAAGAAAGAAATGGTGTCCAAGTCCATGAACATGGCTGAAAAAGCCACTAGGGGAACATTTCAAGCTTCTGATTGGTTATTCATGCTATATATAGAAGTAAGTGTACATAAGGAAGCATTTCCAATGATGGAAAGAGGTGGGTGGAGTGCCACTGTGTTTGATTTATTACATGAGCAATATCTTAGCAAATAGAATTTTATATCCTAGTTTGTCAGTATAAGTAATTTGAGTTTCAATTCATACAAAACTATAGACTTAGCATTTTGACTTGACAATCACCTAATTTGAACCAGTGCTGCATTCAACATAACATGTGACACACAAAAATTTATGTTTATCTGTTTTTTTTTTATATTTACTTTTATATTTACTCAATTAAGAAATTGAGTAATGTATAGTACTAAAATTTGGATTATAATCTATAGTTTGATACCAAACTTATTGACATAAATTCATGAAATAGTAGTTGAATAAAATTTTGAATGCAAGTCAACAAATGAGATAACATGGCCTTTCACCCATGACCTGTCTTGAAAGGGTTAAATGATATTTACAGAACACCCATGCCTTTCAAATTCACCCCAACTCACTGCATGCACATACAATCACATACTAGGGTCACATCGATTAACAGGAAGGACACCATACAGATCTCAGGCCATGAAGTATGATACCATGTATACACACATAGATGCTAAGCTCAACCCCACTGTAAATTTGAAAAAATTAGAATTCCATATAATGTACAATTTTGATAAATAAGAAACCAATGTTTTTAATTCAGATGTCAATAACATTTATACATTTGCATAAATACTTGATCTCCTTGATACTTTGAATATTAATTTAGATTTTTCTTTCTTTATTTATTTATTTTTACTGGAACTGTTTTGGCAGGTATAATGTTTGTGCAAGGAAAAGTCACAAACGGTTGTTATGAAAGAACGATGTGTGCTGCCATCTAGCGACCACAAATTGAAATTATTTATGAAACATGGAAATAATATATGCTTATAAACTGAACTTACTGCTAAGTAGTATTTTTTGTAAGACTCCCAATATTATTGAAAAGTGTTGTTAAAGTGGAGAACTAGGAACTTGCTAAAGAGCCATAGTGTTCATCTTTCTTTTTTGTTCCCCCATTCTAGCCAAAAAATGAGTGAAATTTTCACAATGGCTTTACAGAGAAGCATCTTAAAAGCACTTGGGAACAGACTACCACTAAGCACAGTAGTGCTTGGTATTTAGGGATGGGCTAAGAAAATAATGGCTGCTGCTTTTAATCTATTACTGTATGATGCTAACATAAAACTGCTAAAGTAGAGTTATAATCTTCATCAGGCACCTAATTGCCATTATCGAGTGTTTCACAGCATGTATAATATTATTCTGTTCTTCTACCACATGTATTTTTGTACGGAAACAATAAAAAGATCCTCCAACTCTCTCACTCCTTTTGCCTAAGTTCAAATTACTGTGATAAAAATGCTGATCATAATAATTATATATAATGATATTACCATAGGAACTATTTTCATTATTACCTTTAGCTAGTAATTTGAAGCATGTTCCTCTATAAGAGTGAATATTTTATACATCATTGAAGATGAATCAGTACCTTCCATCTAAAACTTCATTAACAACAATCTAGTTAAATACTTCTTGGCCATGAAAACAAGATGTTAGTACATTTGAAGATTTTGTTGTAATCTAGAGAGTGTTTCCAGTCATCATTAAGTGTGGAAAAATACACCCATTTATTTAATGAACTATAAAAGATTCTGTACTGTTGGTTGACAGTATTACCAACTATGAAGAGAATATTTGTTGCATCCTTCACCTTTCAGAGTTTAGATGAAATATTATGAAAATAATAATTCACAAAAATTATAATTTTCTAAGGTGAAAAAGGGAAGATAAGCATATGTGTGTTTAGAATTGTATCACCAAGCATGGTAGTGCTTGGTATGTTGGGATGGGCCAAGAAGAAAATGACCACCACATTCAATCTATTACTGTATGATGCTCATAACTAACTGCTAAAATTGAGTTATAGCCTTATTTGAGCACCTAATTGTCATTATTGAGTCTTTCACAGCCTATATGGTGTCTGCATTTTCTTTTCTTTTGGGCTTAGAATTGTTTTAAAGTTCAAAAGGACATCAACAGTTGGGTGTTCTTCGTTAAAAGACATTGTTGAGACTGTTTAGTGGGACTTTAAATATGCTTTGAGATGCATCGATCTGACATAAATTTATGTCATTACTATTGACTTTAATAGTTCAACAGTGTTTTTGCATGATAATACCTAAATTGATCATGCACACATCAACAAGCACTATTTTCTTTAAATTTACTAACCTTTTTTTCCTTTTGTCTTTGCAGTATCAGGAAAGAATGAACATTTCCCTTTTTTTAGAAGTAAGATAAACATTTGTAATGCATTATCATCTGATGAATACCAGGCCTACTGTTAATTTTATTTCTTCAAATGTAACACTTTTTTATCCAGACTTGCAATTATTTATGATAAAATCACAAAATAAATGAAACATAAACTTTTAAATGCACTAAACTTTTAGGTTTGTTTTATATAAAAGTTTATAATTTAAATTTTTCATTATTGAAAAGCACAGTCAGTTGGATTACCAAATAAATTTTATTACAAAATGTAAACTTCAATAGGTTTTTCACCTTATTACAAGTCACTCATGTAAATAAAACTTTATTTATAACACCTAGACAAGTTTTAACTATACTTACGTTATGATTATGGTAAAGTTCTCAATTATCACATGAAAAACATCTATCCTGAATGTAAAACCAAACTACTGCTATATAATATGAAGACATAACATTTATATTAATTTTATCAAAAGTTGTGCAAGCAAAGTGCTTGCTGATTTAGTGTTGGATGTTACAGTAACAGCTACTTCTTTTACATCTACACATTTTAGAACACCAACTGTGAATGTTCCTTAATTATGAATACAGGGAGTCATTTAGAATTTAAGTATATTTATAAAAAATTAAATTACACCATGCAGTCAAAATACTTTGCAAATACAACAAGTTATACGGTGAGCATGTTATTGAATAAACATCAATGTTTTGACTCAAACATTTCTTAAAACCAGATCACAACAAATATTGGACCAGGTTACAAAACGATTTAACATAGTTAAAATTAAAACCATTCAATTATTTTACACATTTTTCTACTTATTCAAAATAGATGATAATTTTGATAATTCATTTTGGAGTGATGAGCAATAGTTTTCTATTTGATGATAACGATTGCCGTGAATACTAATGTATTGCTCATCACTGCAAGCCAACATATTCATCAGAGCAAAGCAGCTATTTAACTATGGTGTTTCATGATTTTACAGATGTACTATAGTGTAGCTTGGAGTGTAACTGAAATTAAGAGGAAAGATCCTTTTGAAATATCTTTGAAACAGGTACTTTATTCAGTGATAAAATATTAAGACTGTATCTAAAAGAAAGTTAGTGACAAATTTAAAATTACTGTTGACAGTTATTATTTTACAATTAAAACAAGTATATAACTTGAACTTTATCTTAACTGACCCAAATTAGTTTAGAAGTTATAATAAAATTTTAAGTGACAAAATCATCTTTTATTAAAAAGATAAGGATGGAAAATTAGTCACTCCTTTACAATTTATCTTTAAGCATAAAAACAATTACAAAATATATTCTATGTAGAAAAGATGTAAGTAAAATATTGGTTGTATTACCATTTTATAGTGTTCAAGAGCAATTTTTGGGTGCTCCCTCCTCTTCTCACTGATTTTCCCCAGCATGTAATGGTGTAGCCAAGCTTCATCCACCCAACCTCTTTCATCTCCACACTTGCTGGCGGCCTTAAAACACTTAAATGCAGTATCTAACATTTCCCTCTGTTTAGTTTGCAGGAGCTCCACAATATCATCACTAAATGGAAAGTGCTGCTGCTGTTGTAAAAATACCATAATAGTATATGTAATAATTCTTATGAAATATTTTAAAGGCAGTTACTTACAGTTAAAATGTTTCTTATGCAAAACAAGATCATCAAAATGCTTAACAATGCATTCAAAAGGTTTCAATGGTTTTCATCCACCTGTTGAAGCCCACTGAGAAACAATGTTTTGATGTGTTAAGTCGATAAAGGTAAGTTAGACCAGTCATTGTTGAAAATTGTCCATGGTATTTAAGACCTTAAAGTGAACCTGTGCAACTGATCCTTGATTGAAAGTCAGAATTAAAAAGGTATCAACTGTTGGCAAGCATGACTTGAAGAAGAAACATATTGAACACTAATCTTCAAGATCAACAGGTTTACAACCTTTGTCAAAATCATTCAGATAAAAGTACAATCCTCCTCTTAAACCTTAAACTAAAATAATTTCTGTTGTGAAAAAAATACATTAAAGTAATCTATTCAATAGAAATGATAATATTTTCATAGAAATTATTTTAGTTACTTGATTATTACATTGTAAAGTTAAACTTAGGAAACATTTAATAATTAACTTGAATGTTTTGTATTTCACTTTTGCAGTTTCTTTCTGGTTTTAGCAACATTTCATGTATGATAATAGTACCTACTTAAATTGACTGGAGGCACAAGAAATGAAAATAGTACCTGCTTAAGTTGGCGAGAAGCATGAGAATGAAGCATATAAGCCAGTGAGCCATATTCAACCCAGATGGCTGTATTAGTGGTGTCTAACTCTACTGCTCGTTTAAAGCAACGTAATGCCGATGATGCTTTCCTGTAGAAGGTGGCTTCACTTTTGAGCTCACACTAAAATAGGTAAAATGTTACACTTGTGAAATATACATGTCCATTCAAAAATAAGTCAGTCAGTATGAAACCTTAGCTTCTACAAAGATTTGAAATGCTGAATTCATGAGTATCTACATCTTCTAAGCTATTTAGTTTGAAAACTGATATGTAAACCTTAAGTATCTCCAAATAAGTAACTGGTTATTCAAACTTATTATTTAAGACACAAAGGCAGACAAACTCACAAAATGATAACAATAATGAAACTTAGGAAGCTCTAAACTGTTGTTGTCATGATTGCTGACAAATTTGAAGTTTCTACCTACAACTTTTTTTTCCTTCAAGCCAATAAGTTCCTGATCAGAGTCATTAGGTTAAAATGTTTACTATTTACTTCTTTTTCTCTTGCAATGATTTTTACTTTTTCTATATTTTTCAAGTATAGAATTGATGAAATATTTTAGCTTTTTTACAAATGTAAAAGTCACAAATAAAGAGAGAACTAAAACCAAAAACATTAAATATGGTCATATCAACTACTATCATCTCGAAATTAATAAAAAAGCATTACTATAAGCACTAATAAAAATCCCAAATAATACAGTTTTATTTACACAACATCATGATCAAAATTACATAAAAACCCTTAAACAATTCTACAGATTTGTCTAAATTTGTATTACAAACAAAAATATGCTTTTAATTTTTCAATATTTTAAGGGAATCTACCCTAAAGTTTTGTTTACCAAAAAATCTTTTATTAAACCAATCATCTATATTTTTGAAATCATTTCATATTTTTGTTTCATAAAGACTGGTCAAAGAAGAATTTCAGTTTTTTTCTTTTTTAGCTCAAATAGTTTGAAAACTTCAGTGAAGTTGGTGATGCCGAAACTGTAAAAGTCAACTTTCTACTTTTTTTATTTCTCTTACATCTTTCACCCTTCTAAAGCTAATAAAAAATTCATCTGAAAGCTAGGATTATTTTCTTTCTCTCAATTTACTTACAGTAAAACTCCTTTCTTTCCTTATGTGAGTTATAAATTTCTAAACTTTTAATTAATACGTCATGAGGTTCTACTGTGTAAATGCCTTGATGTTACAAATGGTTTTGTATTGTTTGTTTGTTATGGAGAGGTAACAAGTTAAGTTAACGGGTCTTCCAGAATGTTTATTTATTTTGTTGAATTATTTGTTCTGGCAGTTGCGGGTTGAGACAAAAAAAAGAATGGCAGCTTTGTACAAAGTCCCTTCAACAAAGGTAGAGGTGACTGAATGGGTGTTTTTGTAGACAGTTTACAAACAAAAGACAAAGGTAAATTCTGTGTATAAGTTAAGTAAGATATATACAATCTATTTATATTATATTTAATGCTTTGGATGGATGCTATTTTACTGCATTATTTCTTTCAACAAAGTAGCCAATGACATCATTAAGCCTACTATATGTATGACAAATGGCTTTCAGATTACTAAAGTCATACATAATGGCTTAGTAAATAGCTATGTAACATAGTAGTTTTTATTGTATTACAAAATTTAAATGAAAAAAAAAAATCTATATTTTAAATCTTTAAGGACGGAGCATCATGATGCTGCGCTCCCGCACAGACCACACACACACAAAAAAGGAAAAAATAGCTAATTTTTATGAGTACATTTATTTACAATCTAAGCATTTTTACATAATAAGAAACATTAAAATAACAAATTCCATTACTCTATAAACTAATAATGAGATTCTAACCAAAGCAGCTACCTAAACATAGACCAACATTGCATTCTGGACACCATGTTATTACATAGGTAGTCTTTTTTTCTCCCTTGCTAGTATTAGAACATACAAAACATCTGAGTTGACTGTTTTTTTTAGTTCTTGTTGAAGGTACATGGTCAGGATAGCGTCTTTCCATAAAATTTACAGCACTCAGCCTTATCAATATTACCACTCACTGTTCTACTAGGCTTAACACTAGTCAAGGTACCATATTTTTCAAGAACTTACCTTATAAATTCCTAATGAAAGATTTGAATTTTAAATGGCAATCTCTCATTTTGACTAGGTACATATTATAAGCATTTAGCACAACTCGGTCTATCAGATGAAAAAAAGCTTCTTGTTCCAATTTACAGATTTTCTAACACATTCTATGGTGGCCAATTGCACATCAGCTTTATCAGTAAGCCACATATTCTAAATGTGGTCAATTACACAATCAGGCTTTTTGACAATTTCATTTGTTTTATGATTTACCTTTTCACTGTTAACCATTTGTCCTTTAAGAAAAGTGGTAAGCATTGTCACATTACGTTTATTACCGCTTTTCTTTCTTTCACATTCACCAGATTTCAGCTTAGCAAACTCAGGAACATTCTTCCTGTTTTCTCCTATGGTTCCACAAGTGCCAATATTATGTGAATCCAAATATAAAGATGGACCAGGACTAGAATACCAATTATCAATGTACAACAGGTGGCCTTTCCCTTCATATTTCTGTATCAATTTCTTAACAATGGCACCTGAAGCCCCATGAGGATCTTTTTTTTAGCAATGTCAATATCAGTACCTGTATAAACAACAAAATCCAAAATAATTCCTGTTTCACAATCACAGAGAACTTGGATTTTTATTCCGAATCTACGATGCTTTGACCGTATGTATTACTTGAATATCAATCTCCCCTTGAATAAAATTAGGGATTCATCAATTACAATTTTTTGGAATGGGCAGAAAAAAGCAGAAAACTTTTCCTTTAAAATAGTAATCACTTCCCTTGTCTTCCACAATCTATCACTTTCATCAGGGAGCTCATTATCAGCAAAATGAATGTACGTAAGTAGTTCAAGGAACCTGTCACTGGTCATGTATTTTTCAAAAAAATCTGTAGCAATCATGGTATCTTTTGACCAGTATTCTTTTATTGTTCTTTTTTTCACATGAGGCATTAGTAAAATAAGTGCAAAAGAAGAGTACATTTCACCAATTGTTGTCTCACTCCAACACTGGCTTTTTTGCCTTTTGATGTACATCATAATTGTGTACACAAAATTCATGATACATATTAGTATTATCAACAATCTTTTTCATAAGTTCCCGATCAAAATAGGCTAGAAAATATTCGATAATAGGTGCATTCTCTTGAATAGGAAATTACTCACAAATTCCTTAATTTTCGGTAGCAAATGAAAAATCTATTTATAGAAGGCTGTATTTACTGTAAAACAATGAGTTGTATTTGAATTAGATACATTTTCTTTCAGTTATTTGTTCATCATGGACAAACCATCTATGTCATCCTCATTCACGTGTACCAAAAAATGCCCTTTTAGCCCTCAATCGATGCATAAAATTATAGATGAATGGAGTGATGAAGAAGAATTGTCTGATTTGAGTGACATTCCTTCAGATAACGATAATATTTTAAGTGATGAAAGTGAGCCTGAGGCATGCTTAGATAATAGTGATACTGGTAATATTACATGGAAGAATCGGAATGATCTTGTGCCTCGTAACTATTCATTCTTTAGCATGTGATGATGTAGAGGTAGCTGGAAGGTTCATTGGATGGTATCTAATGATGTAAATGTGCTTATACAATCAAATTATGACTTTAAAATGCATTAATCAATGAGAGCAAGTGAGAGAAAGAGAGTGGAGCCATAGTGGTTTTAAAACTGCACCCATCTTTAATAAATAGGAATATGTGTTTATATGCCTCACCTGGATCTCAAGCAAGATACAGAGTGTTTATTTTCCACCCCGGTCCTTAAAGGGTTAAAAGGTTCCATGGTTATTATGCTATATGTATGAAGTGTCTGTGTTTCAGATATGGTGACTTTTATGGGTTATTTGTGTTTAATAATGCAGCTCATAATTGGCTAGTGTAATGCCACTTACATGGAAAGGGTTAATGATCATTTAATTTTAGCATTTGGGATGTAAAGGTGTACATCTTAAGGAGTTATATATGATGCAAAACTCAAATGTCTAATGATTTTACTTACAGAGTTAAGTTTCTGTTCTAGCTGTGAACTCCTTGCTAGTGCCATCCCTGCCCATGAGTCGATCCGATCTGAGTTCACACAGATGTCCAAAATATAAAATCTTATGGCTTTCCTACAGTTGCAAAAATGAGTAGGTAAGTTAATTTTATTGGTTAAGCAAAACAAAAAAGACATCAAATTATGTAACTAAAAAGATTGGTATTTAATTAATTTTATAATTCAATATAACAATGTTAATTAACACAAAACCTACATACAACTGATGGAAGTTGAAATTATACAGAAGTTACTTTGCTGGCTCATGAATTCCCTTAATAAATGTTAAACTGTATGTATATGGCTTTATATTTCATTATACAATATAGTTTTATTTTAGCTGTTAAGAAGTATGTTAAGTTGAAAATAAGATTTTCATGGAATTCTGTAACTGTTTTATGATTTGTTTGATTTTTTCTGATCTGCTATTATGCTCAATAATGGCTAAAAATGGTGCACATATTCCTCCTTTTTAGGTTAACAATTTTTAATAATATTGTTTCTTTAGTTTTTTTACATCCATCATGGACAATACTGTCCTATTTAAAACAGTTTAATTTAATGAAATATGTAGTTGGTGTATGATGCTCTCTCGAGAAACAATGACAACCTTTGGGTTGGCTTCATGCAGACTGGATGGCTATTACTCCTAATATCATTGCCACAATGTTATTATTGATAGTGGTACCGCATGTATGGTCACAATGATGTATGGTGCTCAACATATTACATGTTATGTATATACTTGTAAAATATATACAGCTACTATATTTATACCATGTAGCTATATGGGGAATCTGTAAACATTGAATTGGAAAGACTACTGAACTATACTGAAATTGTACATGGACTGAATTTTGTAACTGCAGGAATTTTATACATGCATACACATGCAATGCATGTTGGCT